ATTACGTGATGCAAAAAGATGTGATAAACCTTGATTCAAAGCATTAGTATGCTGATAGACTGTGGCTGCTAGTGTGTCTGCTAGCTTCCACTGTCTGCTGGGAGTGTCTGCTAGCTTCAGCCGAGTAACAATGTTGTCTAAGTGCTAGGTAATCCTGACGCAAACATTTCCGTTGTAAACTCTGACTTGGAAATCTTCAAAGAGCCGAAACACGTTACCTCGAGCTAAGAAACGTGCGTGAATGATTTAAAAATTAAAATCTCGAAAATCAGCGCGTTTAGTCGATGTTTTCAGATTGTATTTTTCTGTGCGACCTGACCTCAAACACAGCTACGAAACCCATGGCAACGAGACGCGATAAACCAACTGTCCATGGTGTAACCTCACTGTGATTAAATTATGATAATATTTGTGAATGACCTAGGATTATTTATACCACAAAGTTTATATGAAAATAACCAGTTTATTAAACGGTAGGGTCGTCATCTGTACTCTCGCGTTTGAATTGTATATGTGAACAATTATTGAAAATTATATTCGGAGAAAATAAAATAAAATCTCAGCTCATTGATTTCTCATTTTATATTTTGAAGACAGAATTGACAGATTGTAACATTCAGGCTTTAATCATGTGATCTCAATGACACCATTATGTTCTATTTTTAGGGAAATACGTCAATAGAGTTATTAAGGTTGGTATTGTATTGTAGTGTTGGCCTGGTAACTGAATGCTATGGCTGCTAGCACACGATGGTGGGATTTTGAAAACAAGAGTTACTCTGCTATAGGCTGGGGAATTAAGGAAATTCCTAAAGAATTGTTGTGTCCACCAATATGTCACGATGTTAGAAGGATAAAGCTGCCGGGAAATGAAATAAAAGATTTACCTTCAAATATCGGGACTTTATGGACAGAATTGAGAGAACTGTTGTTAGATGTCAACAAACTGAGATATATTCCGGAGTCAGTCTGTGATCTAAAAAAGTTAGAATCGCTGCACGTGAATGGCAACAAATTAAAAAGTCTGACTCCATCTTTGGCCAAACTTACAAATTTGAAGTCGTTTAATTGTGACCAAATTGAAGGAGTGTTACCAGAACGTGTGAAGATTGTGAACAACCCAACGGAAATCAGGCAACTATGGGATAAATTGTTTCCACAGAAAACAGGTATGTAAACAATACACAACATTATCAAATATTCATTCAACACACATGTACCAAACAGTACATTCAGTGGCTCAAAGTTTGGTTTGTAACACATATGTACCAACCAGTGCATTCAGTGGCTCAAAGTTTGGTTTGTAACACACATGTACCAAACAGTACAGCAAGTGGCTCAAAGTTTGGATTGTACCACATATGTACCAACCAGTGCATTCGGTAGCTCAAAGTTTGGCTTGTAACTCGCATGTACCAACCAGTACATTCAGTGGATCAAAGTTTGTTTTGTAGTGCACTTAGCCCAACAGTGCATTCTGTGGCTCAAAGTTTGGTTTGTAGTGCACATGGCCCAAACAGTGGATTCAGTGGCTCGACGTTGGTTTTTAGCATATTACCAACCAGTACACTCAGTGACTCAATGTTTGGTTCAGTTTACAGCACATGCGTAACAACCAGTACATTCAGTGGCTCAAAGTTTGGTTTGTAACACATATGTACCAAACAGTACATTAAGTGGCTCAAAGTTTGGTTTGTAACACATACACATGTACCAAACAGTACATTCAGTGGCTCAAAGTTTGGTTTGAAGCACATATGCACCTAGCAGTACATTCAGTGGCTCAAAGTTTGGTTTGTAACACATATGTACCAAACAGTACATTAAGTGGCTCAAAGTTTGGTTTGTAACACATACACATGTACCAAACAGTACATTCAGTGGCTCAAAGTTCGGTTTGAAGCACATATGCACCTAGCAGTACATTCAGTGGCTCAGAGTTTGGTTTGTAACACATATGTACCAAACAGTACATTAAGTGGCTCAAAGTTTGGTTTGTAACACATACACATGTACCAAACAGTACATTCAGTGGCTCAAAGTTTGGTTTGAAGCACATATGCACCTAGCAGTACATTCAGTGGCTCAAAGTTTGGTTTGTAACACATATGTACCAAACAGTACATTAAGTGGCTCAAAGTTTGGTTTGTAACACATACACATGGACCAAACAGTACATTCAGTGGCTCAAAGTTTGGTTTGAAGCACATATGCACCTAGC